TCTGAAAAAGCACAATTTAAATATATTTCTTTTTCACCTGGGGAAAACCACTATAAAAGACAAAAGTACAAAACTATTTTATGAATTAATTATAATCCCATGAAGCAAGGTGAATGATGGATTCAAATCAAAAACGATTGCACAATATAAAGCTACTGATTATAGTCACTGGTTTTTAAGTGTACTGCAAAATAATCATATATGACAATTGAACTGTACTTGTTAAATTATGTCAAAATAACACTTATTGATTGATACAATAGAATTATATACCATGAATGAACAAGTGTTTTTTTTTTTTTATTCTTTTCATTCTCATTCTGACAGCACCCATTCACTGCAGAGGATCTAATAGTGAGCATGAGTGATGTAATATGCAAAATGCAAAATTTTCTCCTAATTTGTTCTGATGAAGAAACAAACTCATCTACATCTTGGATGGCCTGAGGGTGAGTAAATATTCAGAAAATTTCATTTTTGGGTGAACAATTCCTTTAAAGTAGGGCATAGTGATATGCACTTTCAAATGAAATTTGCCCATGCTTTGTTAACAAGAAAATAATGCTAGCAAACGATTTACATACAAAATTTCAAGTTTACCATCATGTAATGTCAAGTTGACATGAGTGGCCTAAAGGACGTTTTATCTCTATCACAGAAACCAAACAAAGAGCCAAAATTATTGATTCATAATGTTTAATGTAAGAACTAAATGAGAACTGAATCAGAGTTTTCAAATGTTTCATTAAACAAGTTTGAACTGATTCACAGAAATGAATCAATCTAACAACTCAATTCAACAAATTTTTGCTTCTTAAGTTTAATCAGGGACAATAATTAAATATCTCTGTGAAAATGCTGTCAGATGAAGACAAGAAAGAATAGCAAAAATAGTGTACAGACAAACTCTGTAACCAAAACAACCAAATAAAAAGTGCAATAAAATCACTACAGTATTCATTATGTTGTATAATTTTACTATATTTGCCATCAAAATCATCACGACATGATAAATGACTGATATAGGCTCGGTCCTAGTAACAAATGCTTTCATACATTGGTAGTATATCAGCAATGGGCCACCATGTGCTCTAGATACTGGCATCAGCCATTGAAAAAACATATCAGTCCATCACTACAAGACGGCAACTAAAGCTGGATTTCCACTATGAATTTTTCTGTTTTATCAGCCTGCTGACTGTTGATTAAACCAAAGAATCTGAGAGAAACCTCAGCCCCACACCGATGGCAGCCGAATATAGGCCCTGGCCCTGGAGAACCAGAAACCAGGACAGCCGGAGAAAAAGCTGGCTGAGCGAAGAGGGAAAATGAGAGGGAGAAAAAAAAAGGCACAAATTAAAAAGAACAGCTGCCTTTTTATCCACTCGCCTGCCCACTCTCGTTCCTGCTCTTCCCACTTCATACCTCCATCTCACAGGGGCGGCGCTCCCTGGGACCCGAGAGAATGAAGGTAAAAAAGGAGGGTGGAGAAAAAAAGCCTGGGAAATTGTCTGTCGAACATCACACCTGTGTTGAGAAGCGGCTCTGTCCTGTCAGGGGAAGGCAAAGGCCGCTTACAGAGGAGAGAGAACAAGGTAGGAGAATGCATTAGAGAGGACTCGTGCTCTCTCAATGCCATTAATGAGGGGCCAAAAGGACATGTCCATCCACACGCACTCTTGCCTTCATCAACACACACAACCATTCACTCTTCTATTGTCTGAGTTGTAAGCCTGTGATACAAGGCTATAAATAATGGAGAATAGTGCTTTTATATTAATGCACAGTTGTGGGTGTGTGTAGACTGCATATGCAGGAGCTAGTGCTAGGGATTTCTAGTTTAGCTAAATGCTTGCTAAAGCATTGTACTTGGGTGCAAAACATGTTTTTATCGCCTCAACATTTATATTAGTATATCATTACTTATATTAGTATATCATATATCATTACAGGATATTCCTTGAGAAAACAAATCTATTTTTCAAGAAAATACTTGTTCATTTATCAAAACAATGCAATATAAACAGGTTTAACCGTGTTCCCTTATCGTAATCAATTTGACCCCTGTACACATTCTCATTCTGACAGCACCCATTCACTGCAGAGGATCTAATAGTGAGCATGAGTGATGTAATATGCAAAATGCAAAATTTTCTCCTAATTTGTTCTGATGAAGAAACAAACTCATCTACATCTTGGATGGCCTGAGGGTGAGTAAATATTCAGAAAATTTCATTTTTGGGTGAACAATTCCTTTAAAGTAGGGCATAGTGATATGCACTTTCAAATGAAATTTGCCCATGCTTTGTTAACAAGAAAATAATGCTAGCAAACGATTTACATACAAAATTTCAAGTTTACCATCATGTAATGTCAAGTTGACATGAGTGGCCTAAAGGACGTTTTATCTCTATCACAGAAACCAAACAAAGAGCCAAAATTATTGATTCATAATGTTTAATGTAAGAACTAAATGAGAACTGAATCAGAGTTTTCAAATGTTTCATTAAACAAGTTTGAACTGATTCACAGAAATGAATCAATCTAACAACTCAATTCAACAAATTTTTGCTTCTTAAGTTTAATCAGGGACAATAATTAAATATCTCTGTGAAAATGCTGTCAGATGAAGACAAGAAAGAATAGCAAAAATAGTGTACAGACAAACTCTGTAACCAAAACAACCAAATAAAAAGTGCAATAAAATCACTACAGTATTCATTATGTTGTATAATTTTACTATATTTGCCATCAAAATCATCACGACATGATAAATGACTGATATAGGCTCGGTCCTAGTAACAAATGCTTTCATACATTGGTAGTATATCAGCAATGGGCCACCATGTGCTCTAGATACTGGCATCAGCCATTGAAAAAACATATCAGTCCATCACTACAAGACGGCAACTAAAGCTGGATTTCCACTATGAATTTTTCTGTTTTATCAGCCTGCTGACTGTTGATTAAACCAAAGAATCTGAGAGAAACCTCAGCCCCACACCGATGGCAGCCGAATATAGGCCCTGGCCCTGGAGAACCAGAAACCAGGACAGCCGGAGAAAAAGCTGGCTGAGCGAAGAGGGAAAATGAGAGGGAGAAAAAAAAAGGCACAAATTAAAAAGAACAGCTGCCTTTTTATCCACTCGCCTGCCCACTCTCGTTCCTGCTCTTCCCACTTCATACCTCCATCTCACAGGGGCGGCGCTCCCTGGGACCCGAGAGAATGAAGGTAAAAAAGGAGGGTGGAGAAAAAAAGCCTGGGAAATTGTCTGTCGAACATCACACCTGTGTTGAGAAGCGGCTCTGTCCTGTCAGGGGAAGGCAAAGGCCGCTTACAGAGGAGAGAGAACAAGGTAGGAGAATGCATTAGAGAGGACTCGTGCTCTCTCAATGCCATTAATGAGGGGCCAAAAGGACATGTCCATCCACACGCACTCTTGCCTTCATCAACACACACAACCATTCACTCTTCTATTGTCTGAGTTGTAAGCCTGTGATACAAGGCTATAAATAATGGAGAATAGTGCTTTTATATTAATGCACAGTTGTGGGTGTGTGTAGACTGCATATGCAGGAGCTAGTGCTAGGGATTTCTAGTTTAGCTAAATGCTTGCTAAAGCATTGTACTTGGGTGCAAAACATGTTTTTATCGCCTCAACATTTATATTAGTATATCATTACTTATATTAGTATATCATATATCATTACAGGATATTCCTTGAGAAAACAAATCTATTTTTCAAGAAAATACTTGTTCATTTATCAAAACAATGCAATATAAACAGGTTTAACCGTGTTCCCTTATCGTAATCAATTTGACCCCTGTACACTTTTGACCCCTTAACCAACCCTTAAATCTACCCATACCACCAAACCTGTCCCTAACCTTACCCATATCACACCTCAGTAGCAGCAAAAGTGTTGTGCATTAACAAAAGCTTTAGATCATTGTATAACATCTGTTAAAATCATTTGAAGATTTTCAAGAAGTGTATGATCACATGAATGGAAAGTTGAATGATATTTGTAAGCATGATTATTTACATGAAATAATGATCTGTTAATCATTAGATAATGCTTAATAAATACACTAGTAAACATCAACAAGCACATAATCTCATATTTCTAGCTATGTGAATATATTTTAACTAATGACCTGCTAAGCATTACTGTTAATGGTTTATTAATGAAAGTTATTATAAAGTGTAACCGCTTATTTTGCAAACCATAAGCTGAACTATAAGATAAGTCATGAGATACTTAAAAAATATATTACTAAAAGTAACCACTGGCTGTTAGAAAACAAAAAGCATCTCTAAAAGTAAGCTACACCGGAAAACCTGTATTGCCAGCTGGTGTGTTAATGAGGAGAGAAAGTGAGGAGTGGTTAACAAACAAGCCAGATGCAAGGTGCACACACTGTCAAAGACGAATCATCTTATTCACATGACAGAGTTTCTCAAAATACCCTTCAAAACAACTGCGGCACCATAGCACAGTGATCGCTTTAAATAGTAATACCATAATTTGCTATGTGCCATGGTACAGATTGATTACCATACTGTATATAGGCCTAATGTTTGATATTTTGCATACTGTTTTGCTACTCTTTTGATTTACCTGGCGAGTCATACGGGAGTGGAGTGTGCAGGTGTTGAACCTTCTTCATTGTTAGTAAACGATAGTATGTATTTCCATTTTCCAGGTTTATTTTCTATGGATTGTAGGTATATATTCACTTAATCCAGCGCTATTTTTGTTCTATGAGTTGAAAAAGTTTCTTGTTTATGTTTTATGGAATGAGAAATCGCCGACTTTTGGCGCGCCAAAAACTCAAATGATTCGAACTGAATCGTGAACCGATTCCAGCCATGTTCTATGGCGTTTGGTTGAGTCATTTAAAAGAACACGCACAAAAGAATGATTCGGTTACGAATCGTGATTCTCTCGTTCTGATTCTGGACACCTGATGGAAAACAGCAAACAACAATGCAATATCACGGTAAATGATTTTGTGTACTTTTTACTTTACTTTTTCGTGATACTTTTTTGGTTGGAAATATTGGGTATAATATATAATAAGATATATTATAATATAGGATATTATTATATTATATTAGATAAAGATTATAAGTAAATATTCACTGCACTCGTTTGATCTCTGATGCTTAATCTATTGAGTTGTTTTATGGAATGAGAAACCGGAAACGATTCAGTATGTGAGTGAACTATCCGAAAGATTCATACTTAATCCAGAACCGATTCAGACAATCAGTGCGTCTGAAATCACGTACTGTCTTGAGTAGGTACTACATTTTAATTTGAATTGACTTCATGACTGTTAGAAAAGTATGTTCTATACTTCGCCATGTTGTTACTGTCACATGACCTACCAGCGTCAGTTGCGTCGCTTCACTGCCATTCATAAATCCTCTCCTGTGGCCTCATGGGATAGTAAAGTGTTTATCGAATGCGCACTTCAGAATCCGGGCAGAAGAAGTAGGTCATCCGGGTACTTTTCACCTACTGTTTTTCAAATACTCTGAATTCTGACATACTACTTGCCTCACATACTGTTTTTCGCATACTATATAGTAGGGAAGTATACGATTTCGGACGCAGCGAATGTAACTACGCCGTTTGGCCAATTCACGTGAGTGAACTGACTCAATAGATATATTCATTTATGATTCGGCATCACTAATTCTGGCTTATATAGAAAAGTAGTTTTTAAGTTGCAAATCTACTTAAAAACTACTTAGGTTTTAAGCAGCAAATCTGTTTAGCAGTCTGTAATGTCTGTATAAACTTCCAATGTAAAGGCTTTTAAAAAATGTTTTACATTTCAGTCAAGACTTGTCAAGTCACATTCAGAGTTTTTCTTGACCAACTTTCCTTTCCTAGTTATCCAGTTTATTCAGTCACTGTCAGCAGATTCTCATTCGGCATGCCTCACTTGGTTAGTTCGCTCACAAGCATCATGTCCTAGTTTGTTCAGTGCTGTCTCAAGTCATTCAGCCTCAAAACACCAACTCGTTCAGTGTATATGGGCATATTCACTCAGTATGTCCAACCAATGATATGCTCCTTCACAGCCCGTACCATAATGTGCTATAGTCAGTCTTTGAAGTGAGAAAAGGCCAAAGCAGCCATGTGCATCACAAGGACGAGAGTTCAATGAACGAAATATAGTGTATGGAAGTGAGTGAGAATGGTTTGTTCAAGTAAAAAACACCACTAACACAAGCCATTTGGACACATTGAGAAACCGAGCATCCATTCAAAATGATTTCAGGGATGTCAGTGGATATGGAGATCTGGATTGTAGGTCAGAGCCTTGTTTAAAAGTTAATTTAGCCCTAGAAAGATTTTTCTCACTAAAAACCCTCTAAGTACCCATTTATGTGGATCGTACAACTTTGTGGCCGGATTTCTGTGAGACACATTCATCACTGTGGTCAGTGAAGACAAGATATATTCTCAGTTTTATCTCTGTGTATTTTTAATTTTCAATAAAATTAGATTACAGTTTTATGTATAATAAAAGCCATAAGCTTTTCATTATGATTTATGGATCATTATAGCCTACTTTTGAGTCAGTAAGATCAAAAGTGACAGTAAAGACATGTATGATGTTACAAAAGATTTCTATATCAAATGAATGCTGTTCTTTTTAACTTTCCATTCATTTATGAATTGTGAAAAAAAAATATATATATAAAAATGTCCACAAATATATTAAGCAGCACAATTTCAGGGATGTCAGTGGATATGGAGATCTGGATTGTAGGTCAGAGCCTTGTTTAAAAGTTAATTTAGCCCTAGAAAGATTTTTCTCACTAAAAACCCTCTAAGTACCCATTTATGTGGATCGTACAACTTTGTGGCCAGATTTCTGTGAGACACATTCATCACTGTGGTCAGTGAAGACAAGATATATTCTCAGTTTTATCTCTGTGTATTTTTAATTTTCAATAAAATTAGATTACAGTTTTATGTATAATAAAAGCCATAAGCTTTTCATTATGATTTATGGATCATTATAGCCTACTTTTGAGTCAGTAAGATCAAAAGTGACAGTAAAGACATGTATGATGTTACAAAAGATTTCTATATCAAATGAATGCTGTTCTTTTTAACTTTCCATTCATTTATGAATTGTGAAAGAAAAAAAAAAATATATATAAAAATGTCCACAAATATATTAAGCAGCACAACTGTTTACACTGATTAATAATAAGAAATGTTTATTGAGCAGCAAATCAGC